GTACTTGGGACTTACCTGACATAATCCATTTATCTATCTCACTTTTTCTGGACTACCCATTTTCTCATTTCCAATTTAAAATTTCTATGTATACATAATTTAGTTGAATTCTGTTATTCATTACTTCTAGACTTGAATTGGGTTTGTTTCAATATCTTTTTTTGTGTTGCGTTTTGCAGAGCTCTTGTTCCCAGACTCTCCATATCAACCTAGGATGTGGTTTTCCTTCAGCCGACCTCATTACAAATCCATCAACAGTCTTCGTTACAACAGGGTCACAAAGAAGGGATTCTGGAAAATCACAGGCAAGCCACGAGAAATCAAGTCTCAACAACTCTCCAAATTGGTCACTTGCAAAAAGAGGACCTTGACATTCCATGAAGGTTGTGTGTCTAAGTCGACGAAGACCGACTGGGTCATCCAGGAGTATTATCTCACTCAAACTGAACTGGTTTCTATTCCCAATCAGCTGAGTGACTTTGTTCTCTGCCGCACGAAGAATAAGTCAGCTCATTATGAGTCTGATAATAAGAAGCTGAAGGATGCTTCAATCTGTGATGAATCAGCTGATCCTGGTATTGGTGGCTACATGGCCTCAAATTCTGAAGATGATCAAGCTCCTGCAAATAATATGATTCCGGAGGCCGACAGACATCTGGCAGACAAAGAGCTAGAACATGATCTGCCTGGAAGTGGCAATCATGATGCTGGTGAACCTGGTGGCTGTGTTTCATCTGATTGTGATGATATGATTCAAGAGGTGAGAATGAAACTAATTTTTGAACATTTCTGATGTAAAATTGTTAGTAGGGAGCACAATAAGTATTTCAAAACTTAAAGCTTACTTGTTTGTGATTCTTAATCTGACAGCTAAGTGCTCAGCCAGGAGAATATCTGGATTTACCTTTTCCTCCACCTGAGCCACCTGAGCCGGGAAATGCTTCTGTGCCATCTCCAATTGGGAATAATGATTCTTCTCTTCCAAATAAGAATAATATTACAACCAATTATGACAGTAAACCAGTTAGCAACACCGCCTCTAATTTCGAGAATCAAACTAAAGATGAAAGGACTTCAGAGGTGAGAATGAACATGCTCTTTGAAATTTTCATATATGAACTTCTTAATATAGAGCACAAGAAGAACAACGAAACTTAACGCTTGCTTTTGATTCTTAATCCAGGTTTATTCTCAACCAGAAGAATATCCGGAATCATTCTTACAACTTAAGCTAGATGATTACACATGGCTTTCAAGAATATTGCAGCCAGAACCGGGAAATCTTCTGCATGCCAATAACTCTATTGGATGCAATGAGTTGCAATCTCCATATCC